CCCTGGCCTCCTAGAAACCAGTTAGAAGAGAGATTTTAAGCAAATAACCACATAAATGCACCATAAAATACCAGGTGATAATTGCTATGGAGAAAAACTTGGGATAGAGGTGAAGCGTCCGTCTCCAGGCATCACTTGAGCACATTGCAGTCACAACTTCAACCTTTTTATTTCCCCACCATTAACCTGTTCACTGTATTGATATGTAGGTGATGGTACCCTAATAAATTATAACAGAAACTGTTTAGGTTAGGTATTAGATTTCTAGGGGGCAAGACAGTGGCATGTGGTGACACAATGCTCTGCAAGACTGAACCACATGGGAAGATTCTGAGTTTTATTCAGAGATCTCTCTGAACACACCAAGATGTGTGTGTGTGTGCCCATGATCCAGAGCTGGCTGAAGTTGGAGCATGAAGACCCTATTGGTAAAGCTAGTCTCTTTCTCTGTCTTTGTTCTCTCTGTCTCTTACTCATGGAAGAAAAACATGAACAAAAAAAAAAAAAAAGGAAAGTAGATTTCTAATTGAAAACTGAAACAAATCTTGTAGAAGTCAGGTGGTAATACTTTTGGCATCGTGACAAGATTTGTACGGAGAAGACAAATAGTATTAAATGAAAAAGTAAGACTGAATTTGACCAAAGCAAGGTGGTCTCAATGGAAATCTCAATTCAGAAATGTACTTGTTCTGTTTAATATATCAGTGTGATGATGTTCAGAACATAATGAAAAACTATTCACTCAAATTTTTGCTAGAAGAGAGTTGAGTGAGAGTTTGGAAGGATAAGTGGGCACCTAAGAGTTCTGGTTACCATTTATTGACATATTTTATTTATCTTTTTGCCATCTGCTGAGTACCAAATATTTATTAATTAGTGTTTGTAAAATCCTGTACAAATAAAACCCTCAAATGATATATATTATGTCTCAAACTTCATGCAGAAAGCACTTTGCTATAAAACAGCTGTGACATTTTTAAACACATTTTTATTTGCTATATTTAGTGCTTTTGCATTGACAACAAAACATTAAAGGGGCAAGTAGGTGGTGTGGTGGTTAATGTGCTGGACTACCATGAGGCTGACCATGGTTCAAGTTCTAGACCTGGTGGCTTACTTTCTCTCTTTAGTGAGTGCACATGCCCTGTAGCAAATTTAAAAATAATAATAAGTGTAAATGAAATTAAATAATAATTTTTGGGGAAGAGGTTTTTGTTACAGGGCACGTGAACTCGCCAGAAAGACACAGAGAGACAGAGAGACAGAAAGCGAGAAATCCCCCCCCAGTGGGGATGGCCACACCTCAATCCCTTCTCCTCCATTCTTCTCTCAGTATCTTGGGCATGCGCGCACGTGCGCCCGGCATGAGTTTAAGCCACCAGGTCCAGGACTCGAACCAGGGTAGGTTACATGGGAGTTCAGCAACATAGCCATTACACCAACTGCTGGTCCTCAGATTAAATAATAAATAAAAAAGAAACTAAACATTACAAATGTTCCATCAATAGATACAAAACCTACTTAGGGCTGTAAACAATATTATAAAGAGATTTTAAACTGCTCAGAAGTGTTAGATGTTAGCAGCAACCATTTTTTTTTCTGCTTCTGTTGGTCTTATGAAGCAATTTAATGTACTTGTATTCACTATTCTCAGTTATGATAAATTATACCAGTTTAGAAGTGGGTTCTGTAGCTGGGGACATGGAATTTAAAAATATATTAAAATGAAAAATGTCAACTATTTAACAGAAAGAATGAAGGTGTTGGTTTAGGGCACTCTACAGCAACCATAAATGTCACTGTGTGGTGTGCTGGAGTGTGCATGTCACTGTTCTCCTCACACAGGACAGACAGAGAGGGACGGTCATGTAAATCAGGTAGTCCAGGCTAATATACAGCTTGGAGATTTGCTATTTTTAAAAATAATCATACTGAACACATTAAAAATCAATATTTTAGGAATTGTTTGAACCCTTACTAGAACTTTGTATAACACAAGACAGGGAGATTATTTACCTATTCTGTTATAAATCTTGTCTGCAAGAGTAAAGCAGAGAAATAAATGTAACCATCCCCAAATTCTGTAGTTGCTTTACTTTTGTTGAAATTTGTTTAACAGTTTCATTATATATTGAGATTTCCATTCCTCACCCACCCCTGAGGATTTTAATTTCTTTAAAAAGTATATTAGTTTTGTATTCCACTTCTCCTCTTCCAAAGCAAAATTTCTTCTCCTTTGCTCATCAAAAGTAATCAATTGCATTTTCTACATTTAAGATCTGGATCCATTTGTCCTGCTTTTCATTTAACCTACAACCCTGGACAGAATAGACACTGGAAGAAGTCTCACAATGAGAACTACCAAAATACCCTTCATTCACTCAAAATCATACAAACAAAGGAAATCATATTTGTCCACTTTTTTTATAGTTCACTCTCAATACACATGCACTATGATAGTGCATGCTTTCATCACAACATAATTTTCATGATTTCGGACAAAACAAGACTTATAACATTTTACTGTTATTATAATTATATTATAATTGTACTTTATATTATACCTCCTTACCTATTTCATAGAAATGACATATTTGTAAATTACTCAGTTATTTCCAGTTTGATTTAATTATGTACACATGTTCTAATTATCACCAATTCCAAAATAGTATAGTCTGAATTTATATGTGTATACATATAATTCTACACATAAATTTTAAAAATCCTAAGTTATGGAATAAAAAGTCCTAAAATGAGTAATTTCCTGATGACATCAATACCATAATTCTACATTATGTATAGAATTTTAGTATTTTAAAAATCCTAAGTTATGGAATAAAAAGTCCTAAAATGAGTAATTTCCTGATGACATCAATACCATACAATGGGAATAAAAATTACTTAAAATAACCCTACGCTATATAATGTCAAATATAGTATTCCATTAGGTCAGCATTCACTATCACTGTAGATATTAGTATAGATATAACACAGTTTGTAACCTCAAAAATGACTCTTTCAGAGAAAGAAAAGAGAAAGATTTGTCCTGAGCCTGCACAAAAACTGTAAATAAAAAATTAACTCTGAGAGTCAAGGAGTTTCAAAGACCGATTACTCATTAAGAAGCTTTGACTCACCTACAAACACTAGTTTATCACTGCAACAGCAGAGGAAACCACTCGACAGACCACAGTCTCCTCAAAGCTACAGGATGATTGAGTTAGCAACCACTGTTCCCGAGACACGGGACATGGGCCAAAACTTACCGTAAATGGAGATGACTTCAAACAGCTTTTCAAACCACTTCATCCTGCCATTTTGCTGTAATGACAAGGATGAAAACTACTGCCATAGCCTCATCGGTTTTCTGCTTCATTTACTGCAAAAATTTTGTACTCTCGTACATTAGTCACTTAGTTAGGCTCAAAAGTTTACAAGACAATTGTCTGGGGTGGGTCTGGGGCACTGGTGTGTCGGAAAAGATCTCCAGGTGATTCTAATGTACTGTTAGGGCTGTGACTCAGCAATGTGCTCCCACAGTTGTTGCTTTGGTTTCCCAGACTTCGGCTTGCCCTCCTGTGACAGCTTTCATAAATGCTGCCAGAATCATCTTCCTCTAATGACTGCAGAATTGAATTCAGACTTTTGAGCAGATGTACAAGACTCAGCATGACCTGCTCTTATCTACTCGACCTGAGGCCTCTCCCCTACTCTCTTCTCACTAGCTCTGTGAAGCACTTGTTTCCAGCATGCCTGACCTCAGCCTCAGGCTGAACACTGACTCATCCTCTGCTCAGAAATGCTCACCTCTGTTGATCTGCCTGGTGAACTACACCTCCTTGGTAAAGTTATTCCTGACATTCCAGCACCTATCTCAGCTTCAAGTGTCCCCAAAGCACCCTACTTATATAGTATTTTGTGTTTTGTTTTTATTTGTCTAATCATATTGTACTGACATATTAGAACATATGTCTCTCACCTTTATCAGACGTTTCTTAAGCAAGGACTATGTTACATTTGCTCTGTATTCCGTGGATTTTGCACACTATCTAGCACATACTGACATCATATATTTGCTGAATAAATAAATAAATAAATAACATTTTATACTACTATTACTAATTGTAGATGATGCCAGAAAAGGCTTACATTAGGATACTGAAAGAGTAAATTTATAGTTGACTTCAACAAACCTTCGTGTTTATTGGCCAAGCCTGGTAGCATAACCAACAGCAAATTTCAAATGCAGCACTGGAAGCCACTTGATTTTGACTTTAGATTCCCAGGTCATTTTGGGCACCAAGATCCTGATAAGCAGGAGGGCCAGGGAAAGTGGACCACAGCATGATGAGAAGAGCTGTCGAATGGTTCTTTCTCTCTTGCATGCACACAAGCATTCTCTCATCATGAGTAAACTAAACTAAAAAAGAGGCTATTGTTATACTTTTTTAATTTTTTAAGACAGATTTTTGCTATAGGGTGCATACTCTTGCCTGAGAGACAGAGGGAGAGAAATCAGGAAATCACCCCCAGGAGGATGGCCACACCACAATCCTTCTCCTCCATTCTCTTCTCAGAATTTTGGGCACACACACACACGCACCCAGTGTGAGTTTCAAGCCCTCAGGTCTGAGACTTGAACTGTGGTTGGCCATGTGCGAGTTTAGTGACATAACCATTACACCATCTGCTGGTCCCTACATACTAGTTTTAAAAGGCTTAGTATTTGGTAGTAGGAATGATACTATTCTTAAGATTAGCATTTCAATTTTGTTACTAGATGTCAATTTGGTTAAAGTTGAAGAAAAAACCTTAAGTCCTTAAGATTGCTTGACATCAGCCTCCCTAAAGTATACATTTACAGAACCATGGCCAATACTTGCTCACATCAGGCTCCTGGTAGTGAGGGAAGCCCGCTTAATCTCCACCACAAATCGGCCTAATTGGGTTGCTCCCACCATGTGACATCTAATACCCACAACTCCGGTGAAAACACTTACTTTGTATTTGCTTTCTGATCTGGAAGGGGTGGGAATATGTCCTTTTTTCTTAAAGGTTGTAAAGTGCTTGCACTGTGGACATGGCTTGGTGCTGGAATCAATACGGCCAAGTTCCAGGAAGTACTTATACTTTATGGAGTCTTCATGTGTTAAGTTATAGACAACAGTTGTTTCCTCCAGAAATTCAAAACACTCTGTGATAGGGCATTTGATTTCTACTTGGCCAAGTTGTACCTGTGTGAAAGAGCAAATGGAAGAAAAACAAAAGGTCACTGATTATTACATTTTTCTTTTTTGGGGAATACAGTGTTGCTTTTTTCAGGACAGCAATAAAGGATTATCTGTAATTTGTAAGATAACATAACAATGGTAATCACTGTGATATATGCACTAGACAGTACCAAAATAATCAGTGTGTAATGTTTCCAAAAGGATTTATAGGGTCTGATCATTATATTTATGAATGTCAACAGAGCTAAGCCACAGACTCATGAAAAAAGCAAATTATCAGCCCATCCTTCTGAAAACCGCGGGGTGAGAGAGCAGTCAGAGGATGAGCCAACCACAGGCACTGCAGGGTGAGACAGCATTTGGAAGATGTGCCAACCAGGGGTATTTCAGATTTTTCTACTTTACTACAGAGTATTTCAGTACTAAACTTTGGGCACAATTACTACTTTTAAAAGGACAAAGAGAGACTCTGTAAACTATACAAGTACAATACCGAGTAGTTTAAAACTTATTACCAACAAAGAACTTTTCTTTGACCCATATCGAGTATTGATAGTTCTTGTGTTATTAGAATATAGCGACAAGTACAAATATTAAGCTAACTCCAACAGTGTAAGAGAAAACAAAACAAAACCTTTATTGAGATCTGGGTATGACTGAAGTAACTTAGAAAATTAATTTATTCAAAAGACCACAAAACTAGGAGGAGAAGGATAAAGCAGAAAGCTACACTAAGTATTTGGTATGGAACCGCACTGAGATTATAGTAAAAGATTAAAGCACAAAGTGTGAAAACAACTAATTTTTAAAAGACGATGACAATAAACTACTTTGTAATAAGCAGTAGTTAGAATGTTTGTCAGAAGTAGTGAACAATAACTCTTTATATTCATGACACCATAATCTCTTTTGCACCTCCTAATGTAGCAAAGGGAAGACTGAAATTCTAAATGGCAAATAAGTGCTAAACCCTTTCTTTTTAACCTGGGTCGGTCTGACATTCTGATAAATCAAAAGAACTGGCCTCACGGTCTGAAGAAAGAAAACATCACCACAAAATACAATTAAAAAAAATACTAGGGGCCAGCAGGTGGCATGTTGGTTAAGGTGCTGGACTTCTCACATGACAGATAACAGTTCAAGTTCCAGACACAGCCGGCAGCTTGAATCACGCCAAGAACGTGTGTGTGTGTGTGTGTGTGTGTGTGTGTGTGTGTGCCTAAAATCCCAAGAGGAGAATGAAGGAGTAGGGACTATAGCATGGCCATCCGTCTGGGGGACTGATTTCTCATTTTCCCTCTCTCTGAGTCCTGGACCCAGTGGCTTAAACGTATGCTGGGCGCATGTGTGTGTGTGCCCAAGATCCTGAGAGGAGAATGGAGGAGAAGGGATTGCGGCATAGCCATCCCACCTGGGGAGTTATTTCTCACTTTCTGTCTCTCTGTCTTTCTGGTGAGTGCACATGTCCTATAGCAAAAACCTCTCAAAAGGAAGAAAGGAGGGGAGGAAGGAAGGAAGGAAGGAAGGAAGGAAGGAAGGAAGGAAGGAAGGAAGGAAGGAAGGAAGGAAAAGAAAGAAAGACAATGCTGTACAGATGAACTTGGACCAGAGAAAGAGAGCTCTAGTCCACTGTCAGTATTTGAATTCTGCCTCCCTCACCTATGAATTTCCTTACTTTAACTACACAAATGATAGCAATGGAAGCAGCAATTTTACAGTCACTCAGGAATAGTCAGAGCTGATGGAAATGGAATATACTTTAGGGACTGGAACTATCCAAGGAAGCTTAAGGGAGCAAGCCATCTTATTCCTCCAGCAATGCATGTTCATTATTATACACCCTGAGGATACCATCCAACATCTAACCAAGGACCTTGTCTTTTATTTCAGCGTTTCTCAGATCTGCCTACAAATCTATTCTATGCCTATAGAACACATAATTTCCTCTTGCCTTCATGCTCTTTACTATTACACCTCTCTTCTTTCTCAAAGCTCCCGAATCCCTATTCACCACACTGACCCAATCACTTTTTTTATTGAACACACAGAAACGATCAGATGCATATTCCCATATCTCCCCATTACTAACTCTACTAGTCTATGTATGTCTGTCTCCATCTTTTATGTCTTTCCTTTTTGTACAGTATAGAGTCAAATTTACTTTCAGGATAATTGTCTGTTAGTCTCTTAGAAGTATTTTTTGTTTCAAATTCAAGTTTCCTAGCCCACTCAAGACCTACAGATTATGAATCATTGATGATAGGCCAGTAAATGGCAATTTGGAACAATTACTCATAAAATAATTTAAGTTACTCATACTTCTTCATATTAACAATATCCCCTTTTTTCATAATATACTACTACTCATGATCTATGTGGTCTCATGGCCTCTATGTGTATATCTTTTTCAGAATAATTTCTTCAAAAAGTCACTAGCCAATCAGTAATCATGATTAAGCAAAGTATATTCACTTATTTATTCAACAAGATTCATATTCCTTTAATTCAGGAATGC